AATGGAAGCGATAGAATCTATTAATACTTCAATACTCTGGTCGTGTCTTGCAGAGAGTACATTGATGTTGCCAAGTACTTACTGAGTCAATGACACTTTAACGCAACAATCAATCTAATTGCAGAAGTATTCAGTACATTACGTGAGCACCTGCCAACTAAGGATGTTTGTGAGATACATTTTCATTTGTAGAGACAGCAGTTTTCGCAAAAAGAAAAATATGTCAGAAGCTTGCTGAACTTTTACATTTATATATATATATATATTATATGCCTAAAAATAATATTAAGTCAGAAACAGTCCCGTGGAAATGTAGATAATGTTTTTATAAAAGCATATGTTGGCTGTCCACACAAATCTTTTAAACGGCAGGTTAGAATGATCTGCAATGCAAGGCAAAAAAATCCTTTTACGAGAAAAATATTTTGAGAAAATCACAGCAAATTTTGTTCAGCTGTGATAAACGATTTGGCACATGTATTCTGGCACACAAACAGCTTATTCACTAGAGTAAGAATTTTCAGGAATTCAAACTAAATTTCCAATTTAAAGGGATAACCCACTGCCCAAGTACAAAAGCAATGAAAACTACTGTTTAGTACATATGTCTCCAATGAAAGCATGCATGTATTTAATTATGCACTTTTCCACTGGAAGTATATCTAAAACCAGCCTACAAAAGCTGCAGTTCTTTTGTCTGCAGCCTCTGCAAACACTGCCCTTCTAACCCCGCCTAGACTTTCTGTGACTGTCCAATCACAGACTTCCCAAATGCAGCTCAATAAGAAGTCTTTGCAAGGCAGGGGCTCTGAGCCATTGCTGCCTGATGACATTAGTTCCACTTAGCTAACCAAACCAGGAAGTAACAGGACTTGTTGTCTGATTGACAACCGGAAGGTATAGCAAGGTTCATTTATAAAAGTGGCAATTTCTATTGAAATCTGCACTTTTTGTAATATGAAAAAAAGAGGACATGCTCACATAAATCACTTCAGCAAGCAACAGTGTTTCAGGTGTCTAGAGTGTTCCTTTAAGTAAGTAAAACAAAACTGTTATATGACAGCATTGGGATTTTTTTTTTTTTTTTTTTAACAATAAAAATGAGTGCAGTTGCCTACTTCTTTTGCACCTGATGGCACGTTTTAATGTGTTACACTGTCACTTTGGGAGATATAAACGCAGGCCAGTAGCATAACTGGTCATCTAAGCAACATAACCACTAAAGTGCTTTGGTGTCCTACCCACTGTGCCTCTCTCCACCTCCAATGCCAGAGAGCCGGAAGCAGGAATTTCGGTTTGCTCTACTGAGCTAATCCCTGCAGTGCAGGGCTGCACTCACTGGCTGAGAGCATCAGCTGACCACTCTGGAGTGTTCCTTTAACAATGCATAATATTGTTGAATATCATTCAGATGACCTTGATGTTCAGCAGTAGTCACAGGATTTATCACACCGCGTCGGTTCCTCCTGCTGTTATCCGTATTGATAATAAATAAATTGTCCGTGTTGTAATTTGTTTCATGACATTAACTCAATCCGAACCTTATTGCAACCTTGAATTTGTCATTTCAAGCTCTCTGGCATTGGTAGTTGAGGCAGGGAGCTGCGCCAATGGTTCAAATTCATACAATTGGGGGGCACCCAGCACTCCTGGCACTTTAACCACGCTGTCATGATTATGGTGCTTGGAGTGTGTCTTTAACAACTTACTTAAAAAATGTTGGATTACTTCCCACCACACACAAACACTTTAGCTCGTATTATTTTTTTTGTTGCCTGTCAACTCACCACAAGGTACTGTTTATTGGCTTTGATTCAGGTTGTTATCACTAAGAAGACAATTTACGGAATGTCCTCAGCTTTGCCTCTACAAGGAGTTGTTTATATACCATTACAGGATTATATTCTACCCTGGGGATAATAAACACAATAGTAGTCGGTTACTGGTAATAAACTAATTGCAAATAAATCACACTGGGCAGGAGACCTACAACAGTGTCAGAAAAAAGCCTTTTGAAGCTTGCTGCACAGCTAATAGAAAGTCATCACTGAACCAAAACTCCCATAATCCTAAGTAAGACTAAAGAATAGCCAGCTTATTATTGAGAATCATAGAAGGGAAGTTATTTCTCAACAGATCTACAGAGCTACCTGATCCTCAACTGTTCTGTAACACAGTGACCTTCCCTTAGTCTTCTGTCTTGAGTCAGAAGAAGTCCAAGTCTGAACACTATTACCATAAACTCAAAGAATCCTTGGTAAAAGATTCATTGTAGTGTTCACCACTCTGGTCTTCAAAGTGTTAAAGCTATCTGCATTGTTTTGCAGGCAATAAGAGGACCATGTAGTGCCAAGAAAGAATGATGCACTTTGGTATCCACAATGGCACCTCCTGTGTGCTGTGTTATGCGCACAGTACAGTGCAGACACAAACACACACGTGCGGGTTGTGAAAACAATGACATACTGTGTTGATGTTTATAGCTTCGGTCTATAGCCCTTTCACCTTAGTGGGAGCCTGTATCACCCCAGTAGATTAGCACTAGAACAATACAATGAATGATGTGATGTTGATACTCGAAATAATGTTGTCCCATTGTGTTTTTAGGGAGTTGTAAGAAAGGACACTGTTTGTATGTGTAGGTCAGTGATCTATCATCTACATTGAGTGTATTGCAAGTATTATCATCCGTAACAGATGAAACCTCGTAATTGTGTTTCACTGTAGTGGAAAGTTAATCTGAGATCATATTACATTTGTTTGATGACCTTGTGGAAGTAATTTTTTGGCCATGATAAGAAGGGCTGGATTGCATTGTTATATTTTAGATGATACAATCAGCACTGGTCGACAGTTTAGTAAGAACATAATGTACTGTAAATCCTAATCAGACCAATTGAGTAAATGCTTATTGTGTATGTTCCAATGATGCGTCGTCATTTAAAAGGACACTACAGGCAAACAGACCACTTTATCTCACTGAAGTGGTCTGGGTGTCATGTCCCCCTGTTTTAAGACTGCAGCTGAAATCACTGCCGTTCTGCAGAAACAGCAATATTTACATTGTAGGGTTTAAATGGTGGTAGTCACTCAGACAGTCTTTATAGGCACCACTGTAAAAATAGCAAAGTAAAACTCTGCTTTTTCAAACAGGTAGACTCATAAAGACCATCTGATTGGCACAGCATGGTGTTTTGCTGCGCATTTGCACTGGCTTCCTATAGGAAAGCATGAGATTGGCAGAGATGATTGGTCACGATGATGTCAGCCAAGGAGGCGGAGTCCCTGGGGAGACCAGTGCACCAAAGGAAAAAGGTAAGTAAAATATATATTTTTTTACTCCCTACAGTTGGGAGCCAGAGACTGAAACAGTCAACAGGGCACTATAGCATTAGAAATACACATTTGTATTTCTAATGCTACAGTGCTCCTCTAAATGCTCCTATTATTCATAGACCTGCCTTTATAGCAAAGCAATAATAAACATTCAGTTATGTTTGCAGAAAATATATTCTTTCCAGCAATAAGAACGTACTATAAATAAATCACTCCAGTAACATCAACCTGCTTTAGAAGGTTTAGCCTCTGAAAACAACCAGTAGAATGGCTTGAATGAAATATAGTATAGTATAGTATGCATCAACCATCGTTTACAATAAAACCTTACAGCATCAAACATACTATGCCTGTGTTCGTCTATGCATAGCACAATGACAAATAGCTTGGCACCCACTGGGTGAAAATGCCAGGCTAATGATTGGCGCTCTGGTATTTTCTGGTTAATTTGTAACGCACGTGTGGCTTATAAACAGGGATATGCAGTGACACACAAGGCATTCTTTAATAGACAGATAAACAGATCTAAACGGACTATCTAAAAAAAACTACAGCATCTGAACAAGGTCATTCGGAACATCCCCCACTTAAATTCAAGTCAGAACATTTTTCTTTAATATAACAGTATACACTGATGCGTACGTGTCTGTCTATAAGGTTTATGTATCCTAGAATCAATGGCGAGTTTTTTTTTACATCGGGGGAGGGGTAGAACTGTCATTGTGCAATACACACACATATATCTATCTATTTCATTTATTTATTTCATATGGACCACATTTCTCTCTTAGAACTGGGTATGTTCTTCATAAAAAAAATAAAAAAATAATAATTGTGCAGCGAAGCAGTAAATGTGATACAATCTTGCAGTATAGATTTTCCATAAGCATCCCAGATTAAAGGAGACATCTGGACACCTAATATACGTTTCTTTATCCTGTCCTTTAACGTCAAGATGTCTACAACCATATGGGCGACTAAATATGCGTGAGCCGGCATCCCCACCATGAGCAGTCTCTTGAATGGAGTTTCAATGCGCGTGGACGTGCCTATTCAGACGTAAGCACCTCACCCACACATCTGCAGAGCTTACACAGAGCAGCACCAGTCCGTGCAGATTGCATGCGTGGTGTATATGCGGAAATGGGCACAGACACGGAGGCGTTGGGCACACGCTGCTTCGCCAAATAACCACTTTCAAATACAGCCTTGCATTTGCTACATACATTAGTGGACTTACAAACAACTTTACAAATTAGATACTGTACGATTTTCTGCTGAATTAACATACGACTTCAATGTGATATAGTCATACAATGATGATGCTCTTATGTGCATGTTAAAATTCAGTAGGTGCCAGGAGAGATAAAGAGCCCTTTATTATTTTATGAATAGAGAATTAATGAATGAAGCATTTATCCTCAGACTTGTTTCAATGCTATCTTTCTTTTTTTTTTTCTTTTCTTTTTTTTTTTTACTACACATATATAAACGTACGGTCACATACCTGCGTTTTTTTCTTTCGGAGTCGATGGTATACTTCTCATTTTTGAGGTTTAGATTTTTTTTTTCCTTTATTTTCACAGCAAATAAAAAATATTTACTCTTTTTTTTTAAATTTATTCAGTCTTAAAAAAAGACAAAAAAATAAATAAAAAAATTGTGAGAGAACCACGGGAAGCCGGGGAGGGGGTTCAGAAGCAATCCACAAAACACTTAAAGGTAAGTCTGAAGAACCGCATTGATGAGGTTTCAAAACGAGGGAATGAAGTGTCAGCTAACGGGCAGATGCAGGAAAGAGCCTGTTCAGAAATGGAAAAGGATGCTTTGTGTGCGAACGTCCTCCATCACACACACAGAGTCTCACAAGCACTGAATCCTCCTTGCCAAATAAAGAATGGAAATAAGTGGAAAAAAAATCCCAGCTCCCTCTCTCTTTCTCCCTCTCCCTCCCAGCATCTCCTGATTGGTTCAAGTCTAGTGCTGGCATAACAGCATCAGTACAGCTACATGCACCTGCCCAGTGCTCTCTGCTGCAAGCTGCATTAAGCATCCAGTTACTATTTTGTGTCTAGCTCTAGGTTTTAAGCAGCCGGCAGCAACAAATATATTTAGAGGAGGGGAAGGCTTTTTGCCAAATGATTCATTTTTTTTTTTGGAGAAAAACACTAAAGGAAAGTGATATGTCTCTTAATTTTTATTTATTAATATTTGAATTATGCATGTGTAACAATCTGACAGATCTGTTACATTTTGATAGATTCCATTAAGTCCTTAAATTAGAATTCTGGGTATGAAGCTACGACATATTCCGTGGTGACGAGGGGGGGAGAGCTTGATCATCCTTTGAAGGTGTTTTATAGTACAACCATCTGTGTTCAGAAAGCAAAGTCGTCCAATGTATATTAATGCCCCCAGGCTCTCGTTTGTCCTAGTTCTGTTCCTTCCATCTTTAACTATTGCCTATTCCGAATTTACTGAGGAACTAGCTCTCTGGAGGGTAATGAAATGTGTTACCCTTTGTATGGTAATTAAGTAGATTTTTTTGTAGTGGTTATTGTGCACAAGAAGACACTGAGAAGAGGTATTAAAATAAGAGCATTGTGCAATTTGTTCAATTGTGACGTTTTGTTTTGTGGATGTACAAGACTATTGCATTGATTAGATGTGCAACAGGGCACCTAGGATTGCTAAAAATGTTATATGATCCAGGAGGAACAACCTTGAACTCTCTGTTCTTCTTCTATTTTCCATGATTAATGGGGGAATCTGACAATTGAAGATATCACAGCTGAGAAATTAACTATAAAATGTGTCAACCTCCAGAGTGAGGAGGAGATTCAGAAGTGCATGCATTGTTCATTTGGAACAAGGATGACCAAAAATCACATATAAACAGGATGTGGTACCACTAATGCAATTATTGGTAAAAAAAAAGAAAAAGAAAATTAAAGTGAAGAATTAATCCAACTGATACAACTTGACAAGTCATCTGTGACGGTCCAACCCTCTCTGACCGTCTTGGTTTCCCTTTCTCCCAGTAATTAGTGATTAATCCTTCCAGGCAGAGTGTAGACACAAGCATAGCATAACCCCTCACACATGAGCCGAGGCTTAATGCTGGGTAGATATCTGTTTAATGGCACACAAAGCAACAGTATTCAGGCAGTAAAACCACTCCTCCTACTCTGAGGAAAACAAACTGACAGTTAATAACTGTCATATTGTCAAACTCTGTCTGACCCTTTTAAGGGTTTAAACTGGTGTTCTAAGTGGGAGGGGATAGAATAAAACAGTCAAACTAAGTCCATAAAACAGGGGTTTTCTTCACATCATCTTTCATTGTTTTATTACAAGGCCCCAAGGAAACACAGTTTTATGCCCTCCCCACTTGAGCTCACAGCCTAGTGATGAATTGACGACAACCACAACCAATTTTACACTCTGTTTCTCCGCAAAGACTTGCACACACACTACTGCTCATACTGACACGTTTGTATAAAAAAACACTACCACACAAACACACACCGTATCAGACAGACATATTGTCCATGCAATAGGGGTGCTTTTCCATTTTTGGATGCTGGACAGCCACTTGTTAAAGGGATACTTACAGCCAGGAGAGGTGTGGCTAGAACTGCATAAACAAAGTGATTTAACTCCTAAATGGCAGAGGATTGAGCAGTGAGGCTGCAGGGGCATATTCTATACACCAAAACTGTTTCATTAAGATAAAGTTGTTTTGTTGCTTAGACTATCCCTTTAATGATCTGCCCAGGGCCGGACTGGGAAAAAAATTAGGCCCGGGCATTTTTCAATTAGAGCGGCCCCCCAAGAAGGGGGCGGGGCCAGAGAGGGTGTGTTTTGCCATCACTAATGACAAGCACGCCCCCTCTCAAAGTGAGCATGTTGGTTCAATGTGCAGAGCCCCGCTGAAGAGCTCTGGCTTTAGAAAAAGGCCCTGTATTTGTTCTGCGCAGCGCAAGCAAATGTAATAACATGCTTGCACTGTGTTTGCTTTTAAATTGTCTCTGGTGTCTCCACAAATGGGATACCAGAGGACAAAAGGGCCAGGAAAGTGTATGGTGCATGTGTTTGGCGCCTGCTTGTGGGATTGCCTGTGTGTAGAGTGTGGTATTGTGTAAATAGGTGTAATATGTGTGGTGTAATATGTGTGGCTATGGGCTGTAGAGAATGCGTGTATAGGGGCATAGTGTTATAGGGGATGTAGCGAGTGTGTGCACACGGGCAGTAGTGTGTGTGTATAGGTGATGTAGTGTGTGTAGGGGTTGTAGAGAGGGTGTGTTTAGAGAATGTTGTATGTGTTTCCTTACAAGGAATGTAGTGTGTGTGTAGGTGGTGCACTGTGTGTGGTGTGTGTAAGAGATCTAGTGTGTAAAGGACCCAGAGTGTGTATAGAAGATTGTGTGTGTGTGTGCAGAGGATTAAGAGTGCATTTAGGGTAAGGGATCTAGCGTGTATCTGGAGCGTAATGTGTGTAGTGGTGCAGTGTGTGTGTGTGTATATATATATATATATATATATATGTATATATGTGTGCTATGTGTGTCTCTCGGTGTGCTGTGTGTGTCTCTGGGGTGCTGTGTGTGTCTGGGGTGCTGTGTGTTTCTGGGGGTGCAGTGTGTGTCTGGGGTGCTGTGTGTGTGTGTGTGTGTCTGGGGGTGCTGTGTGTGAGTTGGCTGTGTGTTTCTGGGGGTGCAGTGTGTGTCTGGGGTGCTGTGTGTTTCTGCGGGTGCAGTGTGTGTCTGGGGTGCTGTGTGTGTGTGTGTGTGTGTCTGGGGGTGCTGTGTGTGAGTTGGCTGTGTGTGTCTGGGGTATGTGTGTGTGTCTGGGGGTGCTGTGTGTGTGTGTCTGGGGGTGCTGTTTGGGAATTAATTTTAAGTATATATATTTTTTTTTATTAATAATTTTTTTTAAAGTTATGTCCCCCCCCTTCCCTTCTTACCTTTAGCCTGGGAGGGGGAGGGAGCCGTTCTGCCTGGGAGGGGGAGCCTTGAGGGGACCATGCTGCCTTCCCTGGTGGTCCAGTGGTGAGAGTGAACTCTAACCTGCAGGTTAGAGTTCACTCTCGCGAGATCTGAGCGTTGCCGCGGCAACGCTCAGAATCCCGCGAGAGGACCGGCGGAGCTGCTTGTTGGAGCTCCGCCGGGTCCTCCCTCCCTCCCTCACCATCCGGCGCGGCCGCATCTCCCTGTCTGTGGGCCGGTGAGGGAGATCTTTGATCTCCCCACCGGCCCATGGAGGCACTATGCAGGGCCGGCGCTCGGATAGCGCTGGCCCTGCAGGGGCCGGCCGGGGAGATCCCCTGCCGGCCTCGGCCCCACGGCCATCGCGGCCCACCGGGCATTTGCCCGGTATGCCCGATGGCCAGTCCGGGCCTGGATCTGCCTGGTGCCCTACATGTCAATGTGAGAGCAGGTTTCCCTGAAACAACAGCATTGTGCTCAAACATGGCTTTGAAGTCCCTTGGAGTGCCGGTCAGGGTCGGCCTTAGGGGTGTGCGAGCTGTGCGGCCGCACAGGGCACCATGGAGCAAGGGGCGCCCTGTGGCCGACACAGCTCACACATGGCCGGCTGAGATGTAAAAAATAATAAATAAATAAAAATTTGCAGCAGGGCTTACCTGCGGCAAGGGCGGAGCTTACTGTGCGGTGGGGGCGGAGCTAAATGTGCCGGATAACTGCTGCAGGGGAAGCAGGAAGGAGTCCCTGCTTCCCCAACAAACAGTCTCCAGGAGCTGCACTACCTCCACAATGAACAGAGGTAACTATGTGTGATTGACTGTCTGCCTGTGTGACTATGTGTGATTGTCTGTGTGAGTGTGACTGTCTGTGTGTGTGTGTATGACTGTCTGCCTGTGCGTGTCTGTGTGTGTGACTGTCTGCCTGTGTGTGTGTGTGTGTGTGCGTGACTGTCTGCCTGTTTTGTGTGTGTGTGGCTCCAAGTATCCCAACCTACAAAGAGAAAATATTTTGTGGTTTGATGTGGCACTATTAAGACAAATGAATAACAGTGCAGCTAAAACCACTGTGACGAAGCACCCTTCGCCACTTGGTCCTGGAGAGGCCTACTTGCCAGCCTCCTCCCCTGTGACTATGACTCTTTCAAGTATTTGGCTTTAAAGCCCCTAGTCTACCTTCAGACAGACTATTTATGTAGGCTGCTTTATTTATCTTATGTTTTAGTCACCCTGTACCCATTATGGGTGCAGGGTGTGTGTAATGTAATTGTTTATAGTGTGTGTGTGTGTGTACTGTGTAATGTATTGCCTGCTCTCTTGTATTGCTGAGGTTTGCTACCAACTAGGTGGATTTGGCTATGGAGCTTCTCTAGTGCCCCCTGTTGGTAGCAACAGCAATATGCACTACCGGAATTGCAAGACTGGTTCATTTGCATATTCGGGTAGATTTGCATATTGCTAATTCTGCAGGCAGGTGAGATATTTACTGTTAAATATTGTCTCCCCCCACCCCTTTAAAAATGTGCCATTGTGTTGTGATAAGTCACTGTGTGTTTCTTGATATGGTTTGACTGTTTGTGATTTTATTGAGGTTTCACAACAATGTTATTGTGGTGACTGTATTGGCTGGGAGCTGTTATAATCACACTGGGGATTGCTATGCTCTGCATGCTCCCCTGAGCTTGAGTCACTTAGCTCTTTTAAGAGCTTGTTCCTGACACGCTCTCCTTGGAGGAGGGGTCTTCACCACACAGTCCTGGAGGACAGAAGCTGATCCAGGGTGGAAGGAAGATGGCGAGACTCCAGTCAAGATACGGCGGTTGCGGAGTCTGCGGTGGTTGTGGTGTCTGCTGCAGTGCTTGGAGTCCTCAGGAAGCGCTAGGAGCATCCGTCAACGGAGGGTACTCGGTCAGAGTAC